CTAGGATGCTTTTATCAGTTTAAAATCACTCACCTCCTTCACGAAGTGTTTAATTTTCTCCATCAATTTTTGACTTTCTATCGCTGTTTTCCTCACGCATGGATCATAATCCCAAAGGTACACCATCAGCTCGATCCATTCTGCAGGAGGAGAGTAGCGTCTGCCTTTGAGTTCTTGTTTCTTCACCTCTATTTGTAGGGTAACCTCGTCTTGACTGCTGCAGAACGGTTTAGAAGGTACTATTTCACCAAACCACATTTCCCACATCATCAATCCGAAGCTGTACATGTCCACCTTGGAATCGTAGATTTTCTGTTCACGACTTATCTCTGGAGCCATGTACCGTTCTGTGCCAGTATAAGTTCCCGTTATCCGGGTTTTAAAGGTGGCCAGCCCCAAGTCTCCTAACCTGATTTGCTCGTGTTTGTTAATCTATGAACAAATGTTAAGCAATTTTTATGCAAATTTAGCAAAATAACACGAGTGAATATTATTTCTCAAGAAAATAACTATTTCCCTTTCACTATAATTCGTTATTTCGCGTATAAATGCACCTGTCAGTAAAACTCATTTATCACTCATACCTTGTGAGCAGAAATTTGTTATTTTAACCATATACATGAACCTTTTTAAGCTCAAAACATAAAACGGTTTTTGGAAACTCGCAAAGTGGTCTCCCCTTGTTAGAAAAATTTATCGTACATAAACTCATTATTATAGAAACGAGAAGGGAAATGGGCCGATTAAACTTTCGCAAAGACGTCTGGGATTGTTACTCGGCACAGGCAGAAAATTGACCAATCGCTGACCGGCGCCTCACTAGTAACGATCCCAGAAACAATAGACTTTTTTACCGATGCGGCGGACATATTGAATTAATTGGATTGTAGGAGTATTATTGGATGCCCAGGAGGTATGAACACGATCCGATATACTCGCATTAGTATTTACGTTCGCTTTTCGGGCCAATTTTTCTTTAACTTTTCCTAGAAAAGATTGTAATGAAAAAAAAAAAAGATCTTTCTGCCGTGTTTGGATTTAATAATGATCGTCTTTTTCCCGAGAAATATACATTGAAATTCTCTTTTTGCCAGAAAAACGCGCGCTAATACTAAGCGAGTGCCCCCTGGGTATCCCAGAATGCTCCTTAAATCTAATAATTCAATATGGCGGCTGTATCGGTAAAAAGGTCTATTGCGGGATGCATTTCGGCTCCAGTCCCCTTCCCATTTCGTAAGTGGCAAATTGGGGCCTTAAAGTAGTTTGGGTAGTTTTTTTACGGTACTTCTTGATAAATCGGCTGGGAATACAGCCGCTTCCTATCGCTCGCCCTCGCCGGGTACTTTTCGAGACGGAGGGCGATGAGAGGTGATTGTAGTCGCAGGCTACTTGACAAAGTCTTATTCATAAGTTTTTACCTACTCTCAAATCTCTCGCGATCTCATATTTTGGGGAAATTTGAGTTAATCATTAAGCAAAGCAGGAGCAAAGGGAGTGATGGGTTTGGGAGAAATCTTTCGCATCACTTCCCGCTCGAGACTGTGCTCGTTCCCATAAATCCCATCATTTCACACTCGCCCTTGTCGCTCATCTCCAGCACCCAAGTCCGTGCTCCTCATCACGCCCTGGGTAGCCTATGGAAGAGGTACTATAGGTCTAATTTGGTCATGTAGACGACTGACTTTATTTTAAAAGTTGCGATATGTCAGTTCTAAGAAAACTTGGCCTTGTAGATTCATTTGGCGGTCAGCGCCCCTAATTGTCGTCTCCCAGAAGGACTCCAATACAATATTATAACAGCCACGTAAGGTAAGTCTATATTACGAGTTATTTTAACCATTATTAGCACGTTACTGAGCAAAACAAGCGTACGTTCCATTTCAGTAACAACACAAGACATCGTTTGCAACAGGGTTCCAGTCATCCTCGGAGACCCAGGGGCAGATAAAGGGGGCGAAGGAAAGTCTAAACGGGCGGGAAAATATGGCACGAAGAAAAGTAATGAACGGCGAGAAGAGCCCTTGGGGCAATGTCTTACCAGAGGTTTTCTGGCACCAATCAGAAGCCAGAACGGCGGCGACCGTTTGGAACTGGTCTGGTAAGACATTGTCCCCAGGGGGTCTTCTCGCCGTTCTTTACTTTTCTTCGAGCCATATTTTTCCGCCCGTTTAGACTTTCCCTCGTCCCCACTATCTGCCCCTGGGTCTCCGAGGATGGGTTCCAGTGTACACAATCGTTTGCGTGCACGGTTTGAAAGGCTACAGGGGAGAATTTAATTGAAATGACTTACTAGGACATTAGCAAGCTTAAGATCCCGATGAACGATTCTCTTTCCGTGAATGTAATCCAGAGCATCTAAAATGTCAATACCCCATTGGCATGTGAGAACTGCTGCGCTCTTTGTCTCCCACGGTACATTTTTCCTGTGTTGGAAGATGTGCTTTTCGAGACTTGCCTTGCACAACTCAAAGACGAGGGCCAAGGAACACAGCTGGTCGTTCTGGACATCTATAACTACTCCATAAATCGCCACTATATTAATGTGGTTTACCTGCCTGCAAAAAAATAATATTTTCATCTCCTGTAACTTCGAGATAAATTTATTTTAGGACAATTCAGTGGTCAGACTTGACGATTTTTAAATGGTTTACAAACTAATTTTCCAAGAAGCGAAAGAAGTCCTTTTTTCCGGCAAGCTTAGCTCTATTTTAGTTCTTAGTTTGATATTTAACATTTTGGTCTCAGGTAATCAAAAGGTAGGACACGTAACATGTGGCGTTCGAGAAAACAAAGGAGAGCTCCTTTTGTCCCTTCTCCCTTCTCTCTTTTTTTCTAAAACGCCTGCCAACGGTTCCTTCCACAGGCATGGAAGGAAGGAAGGTCGTCAACGAAAGCGAAATGAGTATAAGCCTAGGGCAAATCAACTCTTCTGTGAAAGAAACTCGCTTACATCAGTATTTCTGCTTCTTTGACAGCTACTTCTTTTCCTTCACGCCCTGAAAGAGTGATCTCTCCCTTGTAAACTTCGCCAAAAGAGCCACTTCCAAGTTGTCCCTTGTAACTAAGTGTACTTTTGTCAATTTCGCAGGAAGGGGACATCACTCGTATGCCATACTGAATGGCATCAAAGGTTAGGTTTTGACTCATATCCTCAAGCTTTATGTTCAAAGGAATAAGTATCTTGATCTTTCTTTTTCGTGTTTTTTCATCTTCGCTTTTGGTGAGATCGTTGCATTTCTTTTCATATTTCTCAAGAAGCTCCTTATAGCATCTCTTGATACTATCTATACGTTCCCTCTCTTCGGTAAATTCTTGCGAAACTCGATCGAAAATTACTTGGTCAATGTTTCTCTGAAGGAAACGCGTGGATAGTTCTTTTAGGACTTGGCAGGAATCGTTTCTCTGATACCGGCTTTCGTTCAGGATTCTGTCGACAGCCAAATATCCAATTACCGGCGCAGATAAAACACCTGCAGCTAAACCAATTGGGAACAGAACTGGCATGAAAACGACGCTTGTCAGAAAGATGAATTTCTTAACTCTTGCATCCAAGGGAGAACGGAATGCTTCGTGTGTGGATTCGCCAATAAGGACCAGATCGATGTCTCGTACGTCTTTCTCAAATTCATAGAATTCTTGACGAAATCTCTCCTCCAAGTCCTCGTGAGCCTTGACAAATAGTTCATCCTTCTTTTTCAGAGTCTGGAGAAATTTTTCCAAACGTTGCTCAAGGCATTGGCTGTAAATCTCTTTCCGTTTTCTCAAATTATCCCCTGGTCTCCCTCCCACTCACCCGGAGACATCAACCACCAGCGAATCCGTTTGGGCATCTTTATTGAACGAGCGAGAGGACCCGAGGCCTCGAGAGGAGACCCCAGGGAGGGAGGGAGGGTGCTAAAATTGATGTTACAGCGAACGAGCGAACTGACAAGGACATCAAATGACAACTAGCGCCGTGAAGAAAACAGCTGATGAGCCGCGAGGGCCTGGGTCTAATTAAGTTATTCTTAAGAATATAAACAATTATCCCCTGGTCTCCCTCCCACTCACCCGGAGACATCAACCACCAGCGAATCCGTTTGGGCATCTTTATTGAACGAGCGAGAGGACCCGAGGCCTCGAGAGGAGACCCCAGGGAGGGAGGGAGGGTGCTAAAATTGATGTTACAGCGAACGAGCGAACTGACAAGGACATCAAATGACAACTAGCGCCGTGAAGAAAACAGCTGATGAGCCGCGAGGGCCTGGGTCTAATTAAGTTATTCTTAAGAATATAAACAATTATCCCCTGGTCTCCCTCCCACTCACCCGGAGACATCAACCACCAGCGAATCCGTTTGGGCATCTTTATTGAACGAGCGAGAGGACCCGAGGCCTCGAGAGGAGACCCCAAACCAAGAAAGAGGCCCAAAGGATTCACAGGGGGGCGAAGTCAGAGGGGAAGCAGAGGGGAGAGAAAATAGATAACATGGCACGATATGAATAAAAGGCACAAAAGGTATAGAAAGACATAAGCAAAGCGAATTGTGAACAAAACCATAACAATGAAATCTGTGCCAAAAGAAAGAAATAAATGTGGGGAACTGACAAAACGATGTCTGAACCGTAACAACTTAACGTGCAGAGGACAAAACGAGCCTGTCCGCCAAAGAGGCAGTGTCAAAAACTATGAAGGCTACTAAAAGTAGACTAAACTATAACAGCTGAATGTGCTGAGAAATAACATGAGACAGCACAAGTCTGTCTGCCAAAGGCAGTGTCAAATAAAGCATGTAGGCGTCGGATCTCCAATCACCCTGGACTTTGATGAGCTCGGAGGGAATCCCGCACTGGAAGGCGAAGGTGGCACCTCCACGACGCAGGCTGTGACCAGAGAAATCCTGAGGATTGAGAGAAACCAAAGACGCCAAATACTCGATACTAGCGTTTAAAGAAGAGGCTGTGATACAGTCATGGTGATGAGAAGCGGTGGTGTATGTGAAGAGCGGGAAGCCAGCCGGGGCTGAAACCGAGTCGAGTAACAATCGCAGGGCAGCGGTGGGGCAAAGGGGAGATCCAGGAATACGAGGAACTGGTACCACGAGTGCTGTATCGCCAGCCTGCCGTGTTTTTGTCCGGGTGATTGTGAGGAGAGCACCTGAGGTGGCAAAAGTGATGCTGCCCCTGGACAATGTATGATGAGAGGAGAACTTGTCAAAGGACTGCGGGACGAGGTTGGCAGTTCTGAAGAAGGAGAAGAATCCAACAAGCAGGGCACACCACACAGCTAGATGGGCGGAGTCGCGAACATTAAGATGGTGGTAAAATTGTAGCAAGATGGCTGGGGTCAGAGGTGCTTTCCGATGAGGAAGGTGAACCATAGACTTCTCCAAACCTTTTTGGGTAAGCTTGACATGGATGTCATCGAAGGCTGAAGTCTCGAAATGGCAAAACACGTGTAAACGCCGTAGGGCACTCAAGTAGTTGTTGACTGTGCGATGTGACTTAACGGAGAAGCCAAGCAGGGTGATAAACGCAGCGATGGTCGATGAGGAGGCTGGAAAGGGAGTGATGGAGTAAAATTGGCAGAATTTTAAGTAAGTGTTCCAGACGGAATGATAATTTCGCTTGGTCGAATCAGACAGAGCGAAGGCTTGAATCCTGGTGACGCAGGAGTGAAGGTCATCAAGGTGAAAACCTGCAACCAAATAGAGAGGTGATTACCATTGACAGTCAAAATGGAATAGGTCTGAATGACAAGTGTACTCTGTGAGGGTGTCATAGTGAAGAGAAGCGGCCTCGTAGAAGGTGTCTCGAAACTCAGGATGACTGTCCCAACGACTGAGAGCATCAGCAATGATGTTGGCGTAACCGGGAATATGGAGTGCTTGCAGCTCAAAATCGTGAAGGGAGGCGTAGAACCATAAGTCGCGTAGGCACGACTGAATAAAAGGCACACGGGAACGGCCAGTGTTGATAGCCAGCTCAGTGTTGAGGTTGTCAGTGCGAACCAAGATGCGTAGACCGCGCAAATCCTCAGACCACAGCTTGATGCTGACGGTGACAGCCAACATTTCGAGCGAAGCAATGGAAAGAGAGGCTGGATCAAAACAGGTCGGGAACGAGGAGTGGAAGAAACGGCCACAAAAGAAACCGCCAATACCGGTAAGGCAAGCATCAGTACAGAAGAAATGATTGCTTACTGGCCAAGGGGAAGAACGCAAAAGTGAAACACCATTGTAGACAGAGAGGAATTTGTCCCACCAACGTAAGTCGGACAGCATGTCTGAACTGGGCACGAAACGTGCACGTTTTGTGGGAAGCTGGCGGAGTTCGTTAAGCAGACGCTGCATGAAAATCCGTCCAGGGCTGATACAAGCACAAAGGTAGGAAAGCTTGCCGATGAGAGACTGAAGGTCGGACTTAGTGGACCGTGGAGCGACTAGCCAAGCACGTATGAGATCGGCGGTGTCTTGAAGTTTATCGGGAGGCACTGCGATGGTCAGTGTGACGGTGTCGTAAGTGAGGCCGAGAAAAACCATTCTCGTGGAAGGTGGACAGTCCTTGGACGGAGACGACTGAAGGCCTAAATCAGTGAACAGACGCTCCAGGTCAGAGAAGGCAAGTGAAGCGTCTTCGAAGGTGGATTCGGCCCCGCCGAAGTCATCGATGTAATTGATACAGTCATGGCCAAAGAAAGAGTGAAAGATGTGAGCAATCGCGTTGGTAGTCCGCTGACAGGCAAGGGTGGCAGAACGAAGACCAAATGGGAGGACAACGTCAAAATAAAAGGAGTCGCACCAGTGATAGGCAAGAAAGATGTAGTCTCTAGGATCCACTGGAATCTGTCTGTAAGCGCGTTTCAAATCTTTCTTGTAAAGGTAACACCCAGCGCCCTTGGAGAGAATAAGGTCAACAAAATCGGCAGAACGAGGCAGTGAAAGATGGAAAGGCTGATCGAGGTAAGAGCCTTTGGGAATTCCGTCATTAACAGAGGAGCCAAGAGGAAAACTGAGGTCCAGTACGACGCGCCTTTGGGTGGCATCCTTTGGGACAGTTAGCAGAGGAGACGTGCGGAGGGGGGCTGGGAAAGGATTGCACGTGAACGGCCCAGCAGTAGCAGAATGTTCGATCTCGGTAGATAAGAAGGCGTCAATAACATCCGGAAAATTGGTGGCTGAAGCATGGTTCGGGGGCTGAGATGAAACAGAAACGACAGAGTGACAGTTAATAGGCCATCCAAAGGCTAGGAAATCAGCAACAACAGAATCAGAGTAATGTTCGAGGTATGATTTCCAAACAGGAATGTTCAGCTTCGACGGAACAGGATTTCGAGTGCCAAAAGCGTTCGGGAGCGGAGACTTGGAGCAAAGAATGTGACGAATAACTGCGGCGTGCGAGTGTTCACGAGAGAGTAAAAGTTGGCCAGAAAATGCGGTAGAGGAAGCGGGAACAAGGTTGGGCTGCGAAGGAGGCGACGATAAGGCTGTTGAGGCGGGAGCAGGCGAAGAAACGGCGGGCGAAAACGTGCTGTTCGACGGGAGAGATGTGGGAGCTGGAGAAGATAGTCAATCGGCTGTGGTGGGCGGCGGAGGGCGAGTCGGGCAAGAGCCAATGGTGTGGTCTTTGAGTTTGCAATATGCACAAATGTGTTCGACGCCTTCCTGGTGCGAAGGGTTACTGCACGTACCGGTGCGGTTCCATTCGCGGCAATAGGTACGAGCTCGGCCATTGTTGTTTCGAAAGCCAGCCGCGTGAAAGGCGGGCGAAGTAGCCGGTGTGGATTGCAAGCGATTGGATTCTGTGATGTTGAAGCGCTCGATTTCGCTGAAATCGTCGCCCCAGCTTGCGAGGCCCGATTCGATGCGATCCAACACGGCAGCATGAAAGGACAGCACTGCTTCCCAGTCGTATTTGGACGCCAAACGCATTAAAGACATGAGGTGGTGCGTCATGAGCGCTTGCTGAGGGGAAGGCTGAGCAGACAAGATATCGAGATAGCCATACACGAATTCTGCCGTCGATAAATCCTTAAACTTCTTTCGGGACAGACCGAAAGGAACGTGAAGATGAGGCCATTCTTGGGGGTCAACGATGCGTGTATTGTGGTCGAGTTGACCTTGGGACTTACCGGAGTTAACTCCTCCACAAACGGTCTCCAAAGAAGGAATGTTTCGAGGCTTGTTGGCGGCCGGGCTGGATGAAACCAATTCCCGAGCTCTTGATTGAGCTTCGAGCTCAAGGAGGCGAAGCTCCAGCTGTTGCTTTTCAATCTGTAGGTTCAGCAAATGTAAGGAGGGGGAATTGCCAGGCGCAGAAGTAGAAGAACCCGGAGCTGTGGTCTCAACACGTGGCGTTGTGTGAACCTCGTGCGAAGGAGATTGGTCTAGCGATGGAGTGCCATTCGTAGCGCTGTTTTGCGGTCTTGCGAGGGAAGGCAAATCGTAAACGAACCCTGCAGGCAGCACAGGTACTCGAGTGCGACGTTTGCCGGCGGCTTGAGACATAATAAGAGGCTAAAAGACTGAAGAAACTGGAGCGAAATGCTAAAATTGATGTTACAGCGAACGAGCGAACTGACAAGGACATCAAATGACAACTAGCGCCGTGAAGAAAACAGCTGATGAGCCGCGAGGGCCTGGGTCTAATTAAGTTATTCTTAAGAATATAAACCATTTGCTTTTTGAATGTCGTCGATTTGCGGCAGATCCTTTTCTTCCCATGTGCAAAATGCGCGTTTTACGTCATCCTGTAGTAAATAGGATCTGACTTGCTGAGAAATATCGTTCAAGTGCATGGAGAGTGCTTTGTCAGTCTCCGTTAAGAAAGATCCTTGTCTTAGTTTATCCAGCTTCTTTTCAACGTCTTGTTGAGCTTTGCGTCGCTCTTCTTGGTTGTGTTTTGCCTTATTAAGTTCAACTTTAACCTGGTCAGATAAGGACTTGAGACAGCCACTTGATATTCTAATAAATTGTGAGAAAAAAGTTAGTTCAAGCTTAAAACAGCACAGGGTGAAATCTGTCAGTAAACGGACCCCATGTCAAACGGTTGGACCCCATGTCAAGTGGACACGAACGACGGTAAGTCTTACACATATCTTCCCATATTCTCTGTAATAGGTAGAAAGCAATGGTTCAGTGTCGGTTTAATGACTAGTTAAAAACTGTTTTTTACCAGTCTTTTCCGTCGGTAGCTTCAACTGTTTGCCATACTTTTGTAGCCAAATTTCTGTAGCTTAGTACTGAGGAAATCCCCCAAAACATTGACTGTTCAGGAAGCACAAATCAAACCCAATCAAAGCATATCTCATCTCCATATTCGCTGTTTTTTCAGTAAGTGACAGCTCTATATTAGGAGACCCCCGTCTTCGGTCGCACTTTCGCTGACGTGCACGTGACTGATAAAAAGATAATTAAAGGTTGTAGGGGATCTTGTGCCTGAAGATAATGAACTCAGAAGACTTGGTAGGTTTTGATTTTGCATTACGATGATGTAACATGGAAACTAGCAATATTAACCAAGAGGTGTTCGTATTAAGCTCACTCCCGAGACATTCAAATTACCTGTAGAAGTGTTCGTTTTTCTTCTCGAGACAAAGTGGAAGAAGGCGATGAAGTCCATTTATGAGGCTGCTTAAACCATCACTCATCACACCAAACTTCTGCTGGATTTGGGCTGCAGTGAACACCGACATTTCAATTACCTGGGATTTCTGCTTAAGTTTAGGGATTTGCTTCTTAAGTTTGCAGATGATTTCAGATTTAATTTTTTTGGGGGCTAACGGATTGCCCTTTGTTTGCCTTTCCACGTCATCCCACTTGTTGCACACGAACAAAGCAGACTCAGAAGTGAGGCCGGTGCATTTGTCTCCTCCGTATAGTTTTTGACATTCCCTCACAATACGCATAAGCTAAAAGAAAATAAATAACCAGACCATTGTATTTATTAGGTTATCGTCTGTCAGTGATAAGGTGATAAGTGGTACACAATATTGAATGATCACCACAAAATGTTTGGGAAAGGCCATCTGTTTTAGTTTGCGTGAGAGTAGAAAGTTGGAAAACACCACCTTGTGGCTCTGTAAGTTTGTTTAGTGATTCGTTTTTCTAAAGTGCATGTATTCCTAAACTGTGGAATTTATGGTCCACATATACACGGGAGGCTTCCCATCGGTGCACCCAGAAATTGCTCGGGAAAAGGGCAGTTTTAATGAGTGCATCGCTAGGCACAGAAACTGGCATAAGGCACCCTAAAGGTGGTTTCTCCGGTCGGTCGGATCCAACCGAAACTTTATACCGTGCTATTTTCAGAAATTTCTTCTAGTCCCGCTTCACTGGAAAGTAACCAAAATTTCTCTTGAAACGCGAATGAAACGCGTAACTGTTCCGGCAGGTATGATATACCGACAAAGAACCAGCCAGTGTAAGACTATTTATAAAGCAGACATAAGCGTCAGGGACTCCAAAACGTTTCTTCCCTGATTTCCTTAAAACGAACCTGTATTAAGAGAACTGGTCACTAAGAAATGGGTGCTATGTTCAACTTACCCTGTCGTCTTGCGTTCCTCCGGCATTCGGACTGTTGATTACGTAAATAAAGGCGAAGGCTTGTGGCAAATATTCCAACGCAATGTTACGGACTTTCTCCGAATCGCCAATGCCTGGACTGTCTACAATGACCACACCTCCCTGCAAGGGAATGAAAGATTAAAGCAAAGGGCGTGCTACAAGATTTAGGTAGGCTTTGGGATAGACTGCCTTGCACCTATCAATGGAGCCGATAACATCATTATGTAATGTTTAATAAATGAGCAGCAGTGTTTTATTGGGTTTAATCATGAGCCGAAGGCAAGTGATTTTAGACCCGATAAAACACGTGCTGCGAGTTTAATGAACGTCCTCAAAAACATTCCAGGACTTAAGGTGGCTCGACTGGATTTTTTTAGAGGGATACCTCCCAAGTTTGAGCATTAACTACGTCGGCATGAGTAAAGATATGGAAAAAAGGTTACCACAACTTTATTATATAAAGATGAAAATTTCTTATGATCTTGGTTTTATTGCAATCGGAGTCGCCATGGCAACGTAATGACGCCATTACGTTTTTCATTTATCGTTGTGTTTCTCTGTACCAGGAGTTTTTTGATGAAATCGCTTAAGGGAGTATGTACCTGCCATAATTGCCTCCATTATGGCAAAGTTTGAAGAAATTCTATGAGAGCGTTTTCGAAATATTCTGAAATGCAGTTTTAAGAATCATCAAAGCAGTGAAATAGCATGCTAGCCGCACAATTCGCTAATATTTTAAGAAAAAGATAGGCTTTGGGAACGCGGTTTCATCTCATAGTGGTTTGATTCCATTGAAAACTGCATACAAAAAAAGAGGGGAATTGCTCTGGGCGATCGCGAGTAAGAAGAATTTTATTAACTTGCATTCAGCTACTTTGATACAGTTTTTGGACGTAATTTGGCCCATGCCTAAGAATTTCGCATTTTTCCAAAAACCGCTCGATAAATTTTTTTTATAAATTCGACAATCCCGAGATCAGTCGTTAAGAAATGTTCCCTGCAAGTTTCAAGAACATTGAAAACAGGGAAGGCTTTTAAATAGGGCCTCAAACATAACCAATTTTCTGCCCAGATTTTGTGTTTCCAAGTGAGCGTCCTCATTATTCACTGGCATTGTTTTCAAGTTTCATATGCACGTGCACAACTAGCAAAAGATATAAATTTGCATCTTTGAAAATTTTTCTGGAATAGCCGAATGGGAGGAAAAACAAGAATCCAGCAATCGAGCCTTGCGCCCTGTTCTCAAGTGTAACGCTTGAACAGTGCTAATGCCAATATTACGGCTGCGTCACTGAACTTTTGGGTGTGGCTGATTAAATTTCTGGAAGAACAAAGTTTAATTCTGTGCAATAGTAAATTTACTAAGTGTGTAAATAGTTGAAAGAACATTAACTATACCCACCATTTGTTGTGTCAGATTAATATTCATAAGTCACTTGCAGTGACTTTATATGTGATAAAACACCGCATACTAATAAAGAGGAGGTCTTATCGATAGCACTACACGATATTGATCATCAACCATTTGAAAGGTCAATGGGCTTATGAATTATAAATTAGTTTTTGAAGGCCATCTACTTGATCTTCTGGCCGTCTATTGTTGGTGAATTTCACTAAAATCAGCACAGATGATGGTACTCGCAGGTTACCCCGACACTAGGCTCGATTTCCGCCGCTCTCTCGACCGTCCCCGAGAAAAGACAGCTGGACGCGTAAGTGCCTATCGTGTCTGTGACGTAAATTTGAAACTTATGATCTATGCGTCGTTACCAAACACCGGAAATGGGAAAGGTCAAAATACCAAACACATGTTGTACTTTGCCTCTTGGTCGCTTTGGTATTCGCCATAATAATCAGTAGAAACACGTACTGGTTTAAGGTGCTTACATTGATCTTGCATAAGCAAAGTTTGGAGTGCAATTACAAGAGAAATGGACTTGACAATAGTATCTTTCACGTTAGCTGTCAACAACCATCGTTGCATACAGACCGGAAAATAATTTATGACCAAGATTCGGGTGGTTGAATTTCAAAAACATACTTACCATTTTCCAACTTCTCTGAGCAAACGCTTTTCTTTGTAAATATTTCACGTTTTTAAACTCAAAACGCGCTAAAACACGATCGCACGCCTCATCAAATAACACCTTTGCATCCGCCGTTTGAAATCTGCTCCACGAAAATAAATTTATCCGAGCAGGCAGCGATCTAATTGGTGGTAATTGACAATAGCAAACGCATGCGTCCGGCCGTCTGTTTGGGGGAGGAGCGCGGACTAACATAATATATTTAGTACCCTTGTTGTTGTTTTTGTTGTTGAGGGAGAGAGGTTTTCACTGAAAACTGGGCTAAAACCACCCTACTAACTCCCAGCATCTATCGGCACAAGGTCCTAAATAGCGAGCCACAAGACACAACACGTAGAGACAGAGTCATCCGCATTTCCTTTTTTTCTGTTTTGCTCAGAACTTTCGAAGCCGGCTTTTGCTGAGTTCCAAGTTCCCGAGTCAATGATTTGGGGACAGGCTGAATATTGTCCTCGATTTGCTCTGTGAGTCCTCTGTGACTGGGAGGATCACTTGAAACCCCTCAGTAGCAGTAAAGATATTTAAAAAAACTTCAGGTAAAAGAACCTTCAGGCTGAACCTTGGCGAAAACCAAGCAAATTCTTTGGACTTGAAGCCAAATGCACTGACCGTAGTTGCTGCACTTAGTCAAATGTAAAACTGAAGTGGTCAAAAATGAAGGAAAAACATATTAGCAGGGCTACAAATAACCGTCGGTAGCCGGATAATAGGGAGCTTAAGCAACGACGACGGCGACATCAACGAGATCGGCAAAAAAGCAATAGGCCACTTCCGAGTTCCAAAAACCCTCACTTTCAAAATGAGGCCAAGTGCACAAGCTTTCTTGTAAAAATGAGTTTTATTTGCATGAGAATGAAAAATCATTTCCATATCAAAGGCTGATCCCTTAACCTCGTTTTGATACAGAGACCCGGGGGAACTCGGAATTGGCCTATACTATAGGTTTTAGATTGGCAAACAACGTCTCTGCACAAGCATCACACCTTTTTATACATTTCTTTACCGTCACTGAACGACTACAATTTGAAAATGTCTAATTTCTTGTTTTGTGGAGGTCGTGAACAAAAAGCAACGACTTGCTTTTTCTTTCCCTGAATTCTGTTAGAATTCAACTTCTGTAAAAATTGCCAACATTTGACGAATTGAACAAGGTGGAATAAGCGATATAAAGTTTGAGGCAGCGTGACTTCACTTTTTAAGTGACGTTTCGTAGCCGTCGCCATCGATGTTGCTTAAGGTTCTCCAGGGGTGGAGAGGTACTCAAAAAATGTTTATACAAGGAGGCTCGGCCCGATGGCCAACCCGTCACCCTTGTATATACTGTTTTTTACGAAAAAGGTACCCCTTTTGTATACCTTCTATTGAAAAATGGTACCCCTTTCACATACCTTTGTTAGAATTTTGCATGCCTTTAACTGCTGTTAATGCACTGTCTTTTAAAGGGACTGTGTCGCGGCAGTCCAGTTCGTTTTGTTTAATTTTGCCAATGACTCGCCCTCAATCGCAATGGAACTTAAAGTAAGCAAAGAAATTACATGTAAATGACAAAATCAGAGATCCGAGACAAACAAATATGTCTTCTGAGCATTTTTTTTTTTGAAGCTGCAAGCAGCAGCGATCAACTTTGAAAAACTATTAGCCTGAACAGCTTTCAAAAACCCAAATTTCAATCCGTTTCGATCTTCTTCAGTTTTGCCCATCCGTGGCATCTGTTGTTTCTGTTATGTTATTTCAACCTTAAGAGTTTTAAGCGGTTATTTTATATTTCTCTTAATTTAGTGGGGCATTTTATAATTTCCTAATTTGGCTGAATTTCGTATATATATTATATACTTCAACTAGTAAAATCCCTACCCTTTCATATACCTGAAGCCTGAAAAAGGTCCCCCTTTCAGGCGGAGCCTTCCCGTATAGGCTATCATAGGGAGTACTAACTGGGAAGCTCCCTAATATCCGCCTATCATGTCAATTTGCCTCTTCCCAACGGAATACTACGGTTAGACATGAGGACCAGACAGGTAGATCACAGGTAGTCGAAGCTCGAAATATGGGCATCGGCGATCATCGGCATTGTTGCATAACATTCGCAATATAAGGATTTGTGTGGGAAAAAAAAACCAGTTATTTCCTTAACCTAGGAAAATAATAGGATTTCAATGAGAAACAGCTTACCTTACATAAAATGTGTGTTACATCTCTCCTGTGTTGTCCATGGGCCGATTCAGGGGCACCCAACGTCAATTTTTGGAAAATATCTGTTCGGAGGATGATTTGAGATCTAGAATTTTCAGAACATTTGTTGTAAAATTTCTTGCTTACCTGCCTCTCCTAGGATTTTTGAAAATCTAAAAAATGGTATAATTGCCCATTTTTAACGGATTTCAAAAGCCCTAAAAAGGTCACCTAGAATTTTCGGGAGCCTTTTTCCTGGATGAGATTTTCGAAAAGGTAAGTTTGGTCCCTATAATTTTCGAATCACTAGACTTTCAGCTAGGAAATCCGAACAGAAGAAAAATTTCTAGGGGATAAAAATATGCCTGTATCTCCAGTTTAAATACTAAAATACGTTTAACAACGCTATTTTTAAGTGGTTTTTTATATATTCTTGTTGGGTGCCCCTGCCGATTTATGGCCGTTTTTTGGGTTTCACTCTATTGATTTATCCCACTAAAACGCAGAGTGAACTTGTTGGACAGGCGTCCTCTCTAAAAAGAAAAATTATCGGCCGCCCTTTTTTATCGAGCTCAAGTCGATGGTGCTACTGAGTCAGTGTTAATCCGGCACGAGAAAACCAGCCGACAGAGCCAAGCTCGGGATTGCTGGAATCAGAGCCAAGTGGGAGTAAATCCGAAGCCAGTGGCAAGAGTGCAACTGTACCATTCGGCCGCATTCTAGCAGCGTTTGACTATTTCAATACACGGGTACCTACATGTGGCAAAATTTGGCCAAACAATATATCCCACAGAAACCCATGCTTACGGGTTTTGCATATAACGCTTTTGTTTCCGCACTAAAATGATCCATCTTAATGTTTCATTT